TGAAAAAAAAGCATCCTCATATTCAGTTTGATTGTTGTTTTTATGTGATAAGATGACTAATTAAAACTACTGCACATGGGCTTCCCTGGTGGCGCAGTGGTTGAGAGTCCGTCTGCCGATGCAGGGGACGCGGGTTCATGCCCCGGTCCGGGAGGATCCCGCATGCCGCGGAGCGGCTGGGCCCGTGAGCCATGGCCGCTGAGCCTGCGCGTCCGGAGCCTGTGCTCCGCAACGGGAGAGGCCACAGCAGTGAGAGGCCCGCGTACCGCAAAAAAAAAAAAAAAACAAACACACACAAAAAAAACCTGAGCAAAAAACCACTACTGCACATTCTGGCACATTCCAGTACGCAGTTCATGATTGTGAAAAGGTCACACACTTGAGAACAAAGTCCAGTACGCCTCCCGCGTTTAGTTAAATAATCACAGAGGGTGTTTAAAAAATACTTTCTAGCCCTCTCTTCTGAGAAGCTTCTCTTCTCCCTGTTTACTCATGATTACCCATCAATGCACCTCTCTTCCTCAGGGTGATCCTATTCATGGGATCCCTCCAAGTGCCTCAGCAACTTTGCAGTTCCGTGGAGGGCATTAGAAAACAAGGATTCTGGTGTGGTTCTGGTAGAAACAAAACAAAATCCTGGAAAAATAACATTCCAGAACTAGGATACTTAGCTAAGATCCACAAGGTATCCGTGGCATTGATCTTATGGTAAATGAGACAAAGAAAAATCCTTGAAAGCCACTGCTCCTTGGTGAGGGAGAGAACACACCTCTGCCTCTCCTTGGAGGGTCTCTAAACGCAGACAGGGCATCTGCTGGCCCCGACCCCATGGCCCAGCCTTTACCCTCTCACAAAACCCAAGCTTCACCTGGTCTTTTCAAAATGAATCATAACTGCGGATGCCCAAATATCGTATAATATGGCTTATTTGTGGAATCTAGAAAAATGACACAGTTTAGAGACACAGATGTAGAGAACAAACGTATGGACACCAAGGCGGTGGGGGGGAGGGTGGTGGAATGAATTGGGAGATTGGGATTGATATATACACACTACTAGGTATAAAATAGATTACTAATGAGAGCCTACTGTAGAGCACCGGGAACTCTACTCAACGCTCTGTGGTGACCTAAATGGGAAGGAAATTTCAAAAAGAGTGGATATATGTATATGTATAGCTGATTCACTTTGCTATATACAGCAGAAACTAACACAACATTGTAAAGCAACTATACTCCAATAAAAATTAATTTTAAAAAACCCCAAATGAATCATAACCTCAAGACAAGCCTAAATCTTTTCATGCTACTGATGTCTGATTAACCCATTCGTGTAAGCACATACTCCAGTTTCTACTGTGTCTAAAAACATTCACTCTTTCACGCTTCCAAACCCTTACTGTGTGTAGTTTCATACTGCTCAGCAGTTTCAGGACTCCTCCTCTGTATTTTAATGTGTTGGTGGTGGGCTTCCCCAGTGGCGCAGGGGTTAGGAATCCGCCTGCCAATGCAGGGGACACAGGTTTGAGCCCTGGTCTGGGAAGATCCCACATGCCGTGGAGCAACTAAGCCTGTGAGCCACAACAGCTGAGCCTGCACTCTAGAGCCCACGAGCCACAACTACTGAAGGCTGAGTGCCACAAGTACTGAAGCCTGAGTGCCGCAACTACTGAAGCCTGCGTGCCTAGAGACTGTGCTCTGCAACAACAGAAGCCACTACAACGAAGAGTAGCCCCCGCTCGCTGCAACTAGAGAAAGCCCGCGCGCAGCAACAAAGATCCCACGCAGACAAATAAATAAAGTAAAAAGAATAAAAATTAAAAAAATAAAGTGTTGTTGCATATTCTGCCTCTCCTCTGTCTCAGGTCTGGTAGGATAAGGAGTGTTAGTTAAGTAACATGACTTAAAGGATGTCAGCCGCAGATAAACAAGAACTCAGTGAGTTTGCAGACTCAGCACGGTGTTACTGACTTCTTACACATGGTTCTTCCTTCTCTCGACCCTTTTCTAGTCTTATACAGGGATGTAAAGATAGGCCATCATGAGAAAAGTACAGCTAGAACAAGAGACAAACAGTTGTGTACTTGATTAGAGGAAAGGAAATGACTTGCTCTATATAATTTAAAGGAAATCTTGGTGACTGCTCCTTTTGACTTTTATTTCAAATAGGGTTTACTTTCTTTAATTAAAATATTTTATACACCTCCACAATGCTTTTCAATGCCAGTGTCTTATCCCTAGGAGGCCTACTTCGATTTATATTATTTAACATTTCCAATTTGCAATGACTTTAGCACAGGTGAGAGTCCATCCGTATCCACTTTCTGAGAAGGTGGTAGACAGTACATTGCAGAGGCCGCCTGATGGACGGACGCTGAGCTACACGCAGCGGCTGAGGGAAAACCTATGGCTGTGGGTTCTTGGCCCAGCTGCTCCTTCAGGCTGCTGCAGTTCCATGGGAGAAGTCCTGAAGACCAACCCACTTCCTTATCTAAAATGCCATATTGGGATCATAATAACCACATGAGTAACAATATCAACACAAAGGGCTGTTAAGTGAGGTCTCGAAATAATGACTGTAGAATGTGATGACAAATGTAAGTACAGCGATGAATACTTTTATTAAGATCAATTATTAATTGATACTAAATATTAATTAATTGAGTATTTAATAACAGTCACATCCCCAAATTGAAAATATCAAAGGAGAGAGGTTAAACGATTTGCCAGCGTTGCACAACAAGGTGATTTCTGAGCCAAGATGAAATCTGTAACTTCTTGCGTTAATTTTCCTCACCCTCTGTTCAATTCAAGTGCAATACAACTAAGCTTATCAATACTCTCTCAGGAGGGGATCGCAACTGCCCTGCACGCCCCCCAGTGCACAGCTGAGGTTCCCACTGGTGAGACCAGGGCACATGCATCCAGGAGCTGCCAGAAGAAGTCATGGAAGGAAGAATGCTGGCTCCTCCCAGGACTATTAATTTCCAGATAATGACAGTGCTCAATAGTACAGGAATCCTCCATGTATTTTCAACTGGCCAATTTAAAGCTTCTGCATGTTAAACAGAATTTATAAGGAAACCAATAAAGTAAAAGTTTAAATCGCAAAAACCGGGACCAGCTCCTATCCCACTGTTCTTTAGTACTAAACAAATAGGAGAAATGAATTACTCTAATATCTTTTAGTAAGTAAGAGACTAACCAAACAAAATTAAGATAAAAGCAAAGGTAGGACTAAGAGAAAGCAGTAACAGGGTCCTTGTTGGTCCCAGGGGAGATGGGGTTCTGTGGTCTCAGAGAGACCCCCTTCCTCCTCGCCAGAGAGAAGCCTTACGTCTACCATCCAAACGTTGCTAAGCTAGTCAGTTCAGGGAGAATCAGAAAAAACAGCTTTTAATTGGTAAAATGATAACTATTTGTAGATGATCCACTTATTTACTGGGAAAGCAATTGCATGAAAAAATTACACATAAGAAGAGAATTTGACATGGTAGCAAAGTCAAAATTACTGTACAGAAATTGACAGCTTTTACACACAAACAACACTAGCTCCAGGGTATCAAGAAAGAAATGATTCTATTTATTGTAGCTACAAAAATGATGAAATGCTTAGGAATAAAATTCATAAGAAGGGTGCAATTTCTACACAAAGGAAACTGAAAATGCTATCAAGGGACAGGAAAGATTTGAGTGTGGGAAAGGCTCATTATGTGTAACTTCATAAAGGGAAAAATTCAAACTTAAGCCATAAATTTAATACAATCTCAGTAAGATTACCAACAGGATTTTGGTGTCATAACAGAAAAACTGATGCTGAAGTACATTTGGAAAAACAAACAAGCAAGAGTAGCTGGAGAAATTCTGAAAAGGAAGAATGTTAAGAGGAGCCTAGCTGCTATTTAGATTTTAAAACCTACTACAAAGCTGCAGCAGTTAAAACAATGTGGTACGAACACAGGCACAGACAAGCAGATCAACGCAAGTAAATAAAATACATAAGGGAATTTAGTATATGATGAAGGTGAGATTTCAAGTCAGTGGGGAGAAGATGGACCACTCAATCAGCAGAGTGTGGATGCCAGGATAAACAGCCAGGACAAGGATAAGTTACTTCTCCACCTCTAACCTTGCACAGGTACAGAGGCCAAAGGGAGCAATACTTTCAAACTGAAAAACATGAAGCAATAAAATAAAGAAATGGAGGATTTCTTTTTTAAGGAAAGAAAAGCCTAAGTGTGATATAAAACTAGAAGCCACAAAGGAAAACACTGATATATTTGAATCCAAAAACTATATCAAAAAAACATAAAAAGTACTATTAGAAATTCCAAAGACAAATGGAAACTGAGAAAAAGTAGTTACAATTTGCAATACATAAAAGGAGCTAATTTCCCTGTATATACACACACAGAGCCACAACTAAATCCTGTGGGAACAGGATTTAAACGAGTGTTCGTAGAGAAATGAGTACAAATGGCTCCTGAAATGTGAAAAGATGCTCACTCTCAGTGTTAAGCCTATTTTTTTTTAACCTATTTTATTGGTTTAGATGAAAAAGTTTCCCAATACAATAGGTGGAAAGAGAAGCCCACTCACACATTGCTGGTGGAGGTATCTTGTACAAGTTTTACGGAGAAAAATCTGGCATTATCTAAAATGCACGTCCCCACTGACCAGCAATTCCGCAGCCAGAACCCACTCTGTAGACTCTCACAGTGTGAAATGAACGTGGAACACTCTTTTAAGCATTCTTTACATGGCAAACATGGAAAACCACCTGGATGGCCATCGACAAAGTTAGAGTCCATCCACGTGGTGAGCGAGGGCCAGGGTGCTCCCCATGCACTGATGCAAACTGTCTGCCAAATGTTATTGCTAAACAAACAGAGGGAAGTGGCTAACCATGTGCATGGCTGGCCATCAGTTGTGTCCACAAACACACACACACACTCTCTCTCTCTCTCTAAATAAGGAGAGAACAGCCCTGGCCCAGGGCAGGCGTGAGCTGGGGCTGCAGAACAGGGCAAGGAGGGGACATATTTTCCCCTCCTTGAAAATATGAGTTCATGAAGGTATGAACTCTTCATACCTTTTGAATTTTGTACCAAGTACATGTACTACCTATTAAAAAATCAATAACATACATTTTTGCCTCCTAAAAATTCTGGATTATAGACCTGTGGCTAGTAAAAAGCTAAGTCTGGGAGAATTAGATTGTTAAGGGACATAATGCAAGAACACATACATATGTACATCTTCTGACTGTTTACCAAGTATTAATTTTCATTGTTTTACTAAATGAGTAAAGTATTGGGCTTGTTTTCACAAGCAAGAGGCTTTCATGGGAAAAAAGGTAACACAAATTTAATTTCTATGTGGCCTCCCTCCTCAGACTTGCGTGGGGTTCTTGTAACGTCAGTCGGCAGTATTGCAAGTTCATTACAGAGAAGGGAGAGAAAAGGGAGAAAAGAAAAATTACCTTTTCGATTCCGAAGTATCAAGGTGATGAAACTTAGTCAACAGTCGTATCTGAGCAGCCCCAAAGCAACTGCTTTTACCCTCGACTTCAACTTTTCCCAATTAAAAAACGATTTCAAAATTTCTTTTGTGTATTGCTATCTCAATTTCTCTCTATTTCATGAGTTTTCTAAGAATTTTCTGACTTGAAATTTCACTGCATTTAAAACTTCTTATAATAATGAGGTAAAACATTTTAAAACAAGCATATGGACAAGGAATATACTATAACTGCACTGTATAAACCATAAACAGCCAGGCAGCTAAATTAAACCCGATGGCGTTTCTTCCTTTACAAATACAGTAACTGCTTTGTTGCGAAATACTCAAAGTGCTAACAAACTCATTATTTCTACCATTTTGTCTTTATTGTTACCTAGCTGGTTCCACGTGTTTCAATTTTATAGTTGCTCTTTCGCTAGACTGACCCGTAAGAATACTTAATACATCCAGTTGTTATTTGTTAGGAGGCTGGAGTCCGTGATCATTGAGAAAAGCCTCATGCGACCCAAGTTCCAAGCCTGGTTGTCTTTCTGATTTCTGTCCGCCCCCCCCCCGCCACGCCCCTTCACCATGGGAGTAGAATGACCATTAAGCATTATTTTAGTTTCTATTTCAAAGGGGCCTTTGTAAGTTGGTCCACCTGCTCCCAAGAAGCATACTGTGTTCTTGAGAAGATAAATCCCTTCTTTTACCTCATTTCAGAGAGGCAGAGAATATACAGGACATGCTACTTCTCTGTGCTTCTCTAACTTTTGAACCATTTACAACTTGCTGCGAAGAACCATCCTTCGCCTCTTGAGAAATTCACAGAGACCAGTAGCATCTCATTCTTGGGGTGGAGAAATTAATTGGGATGTAGTTACCATGCTCCATGCAGAGATGTGTGCAGGGCACCTCCCTTGGAGGTGCGATGCAAGACTGGAAACTTGATTTCTACAAATTCCAGATTAAATTGGCTTGATGTATAATACAGGCTAAGTTATCTTGCTTGCAATATGCAAACTGATAACTGGTAGAACACACATCTGTAACTCCAGCCACTTGCAACTACAAAGCAGACTGTTGCCTCTGCTAACACAGTCTTGAAGGATTATGGTTTAGGAAGCTCTGTTTTGTGCCTCTGTGTGATGACGGGTGAGGTCACATCGCGGGGGCTTACTGATAAACGTTAGTGAGCATGTGGTTCTCTAGAAATCCAAGGGTGGTACTCACCGCACCCGCAAATCTCCCAGGCTCTCAGGTGAGGGCGCCACGGAAGTTAGTTAAAGTATAAAAGTGCCATTTTTATACAGAACAGGGAAATAAAAGGTAGGAGTAGGCTCCTGAAGTGTAGCTGGCCCCGGGAAGAAAGAAACTTGGAGAAAGCATAAGAGGCCAAAATGACTGCTGCATCCACAGGTGGGAGAAAGAATACCTGGGAACACGTTAGGACGAGTGGTTAAAGGAGGAATTGGAAGTATGTGTCATGTTCTGGGTCAGTGACTTAGAAGGACAAGGACACGGCATCTGTCCCCCAGGCCATTAGTGGGTTTCAGTCTCCCGAGGTTGGGGGCTGAGGTCAACCACACGTGACAAATGTAAAACACCTGAAAAATAATGTGTGACCAAGTTCCCAGGGCACTGCCTTGGTGGCAGGCCTCCACAGCACTGGTGATTCTGCAAATAACACAACCATAAGCGGGGTGAAGGGAATTACTGCCAAGGAGACATACTGCCACTGCAGAAGGTCTAGTACCAACACTTACTAGATAGATGACATTGTCTATTTTTATTATATTTACACACTGTGTGTGTGTGTGTGTGTGTGTGTGTGTGTGTGTGTGTGTGTGTGTGTGAGTGAGTTTCAGCAGAATGAATGGGCATCATCTAAAAACACTGCACTGTGCAGCTGATTCAGTATCAGCTTACTGGGGCCAAAGAGGGAAGGTCTATGACCCCATTCAGCTCAGGAGAGGCTGGAAACTGGCTCCACACCTGGGGAAGCTGACCCCAAGCTCCGCCTAGACTGACTCCAAGTATCATGTCAGATTTGGGGAAAGAGAAACTCGAGGATAGAGCAAGCAAATCCGATGCTCAGCTCTCTGTGAAAAACTCGGCTCTATATAAAGAAAATGCAACGAGTGTCGTATCCACAGGTGGCTTCTCCAGGGGAAGAAACTCATCTGCCTACCAAGGAGAAGCAGGATTTTCGAGAATGGAAAATGTATTTTTGAAATGATTCAAAATATCTCATTTTTGTTTCATCATCACCTCCTCCCCATTTCTCAATACTGACTATAGAATTACTTCACCTACATGCTATAGTCATACTTGCTTTCTCTGTCCTCCCAAGCAGTATTTTGGTGATTTATGTTTCTGCTGTATTCTACTTTTGTCTTAGTAAATGAATGGAAGTGTGCACGGGTGTTATGGTGTTATACAAAGCTCCATAAAATAAAAACACTATGTAAATTCTTCAGCATTAATATACTGTTTTTCTGATTTCATTATAATGGAACCAAGGGATGAGCAAATAGCTTTCACTGTAATGAGATGTCACTGTATTGAATACTTGTGCCCCAATGAGATTTAACCAATATTAACACAGATAAAAATAAGTTACTTAGGGGCTTCCCTGGTGGCGCAGTGGTGGAGAATCCACCTGCCAATGCAGGAGACATGGGTTTGAGCCCTGGTCCGGGAAGATCCCATATGCCGCGGAGCAACTAAGCCCGTGTGCCACAACTGCTGAGCCTCCGCTCTAGAGTCCGTGAGCCACAACTACTGAGCTCATACGCCTAGAGCCTGTGCGCCGCAACAGGAGAAGCCACCGCAATGAGAAGTCCACGCACCGCAACAAAGAGTAGCTCCCGCTCAACTAGAGAAAAGCCCACGCACAACAACGAAGAGCCAACACAGCCAAAAAATAAAATAAGTTTATAAAAAAATAAATAAGTTAGTTAAACATATTTTTAACAGAGACACTAGAAAATAATTCTAGAGGATACTAGAAATCAATTTCTAAGGTTAGTTTTTGACTGTTAACCTGACTTGGTCATCTAGTAAGAGACAGTAACACAGAAGGGGGAGTGGGCACACTTGGTACATAAAGATGGGAGCCAGGGCACATCAGTGTCGAAGGGGCATCTAACAGAAAGAAATCAACAACAAAAATGCAGACTTCCTACCGAACAAGCAAACTATTCAAGAGAGAGTTTTTGATCAAACAGTCATGCCTTATAAATAATGAGCAATTCTATCACCTGTTTTTGCATGTTATCACAAAGTAGGTGTTATGGACTGAATATTTGTGTCCTCCCAAAGTTCATACGTTTAGGCCCTAAGCCCTGAGTTGATGGTATTTGGAGACAGGGGCTTTGGGAGGTAACTAGGGTTAGATGAGGTCATGAGGGTGAGGCTCTTGTGATGGGATTAGTGCACTTGGACTAAGAGACACCAGAGCATATATTCTCTCCTTCTCTCCCCCCACCCCCCTTTTCCTCCATGAACACAAAGAAGAGGTCATGTGAGCACACAGCAAGTCGGTGGCCCCTATGAGCCAAGGGAAGAGGCCTCAGAATGAAATGTACCATCCTGGCACCTTGACCTGGGACTTGCAGCCTCCAGAAACTGTGAGAAAGAAATTTCTGTGGCTTAAGCCACTCAACCTGTAGTATTTTGTTATGGCAGCCTGAGTGGATTGGACAGTCGGTATCGAAGATCAAAGTGATGAGAATATCAAAAGAAAATGAAAAAGGAAATCTCTCTCCTGCTTTTGAAAATACACTGCTCACCCACATCTGAATGCCAGGGTTGTCAGCTCTTCAACACACATCTTGTCTAATGACTTCTTTTTTCCCTTCTGAATGTCTGTGCTGAAAGAAAGCCTTCACTTCTGGGTTAGCCCCCTCATTTAAACCTGTGCAAATTAAGGGGTGAGGAAAGAGTGCCCCAGATCCTTTCTTTTGAATCTTCCTTTGATTCGGAGTTTTGCAGAATCTCTTAGTCGACTGTTTTTTTTTAAAATCAAGTTTTACTGCAACTCTAATACATTATATACACACACCTTCTTCTTTCCTGTACTTTGGGTCTGGGGACTCCAAAAGTGTCACTTGACAAATGTGGTAATTCCAAAGTCATTTGATGTTGGAAAAGCTCCTGCCTTTACACAAAAGGGGCAAGTGTCTCTGAGAATGAAATCCAGTGCCTAGCTGACCAATGAATTTGGTCAACATCTAGAACTTGAATTAATAGATTATGACACTGCTGCTTGAAATCCTCAGAGTAATTACAATCACCTAAAGAACAGATAATTAAACAAAATTAATAATAATATAACAAGAAGAAGAAGAAGAAGAAAACAATGTTCAGTGGCTTCAGTCTACATGATTGTTAGGAATGTCAGGATATGAGGAAGAAATCAATTATACACTTAAAAAAATCATTTTCACGCATTAAACGTTTTTCATTCTCTCCCTGTTAAGTTCTAAGAGCAATACATGTACAATAAAGAAACACAAGAAATTTCAGAAAAGCAAGAAGAATATAGAAAGAAATTACAAACACTTAGAATCTCATTTCTCAGAAATAAACCCTGCAAGACAATTTGGGTTACAGTTCAGACTTTTTCCTCTGCAAATAATATAATAAACTTAAACAAAATTGGACACAGTAGATCACATTAAAGATTTCCTCTAATGCAGTCGTTCTCACCCAGAGGTGGTTTTGTCCCCCTCCCCCTGGAGACATTTGGAAATGTCCAGAGTCATTTTTGGTTGTTGGATCTTGGAAGGGGCGGGGGTGGCTACTGCCATCTATCTAGTGAGTGGGAGCCAGGGATGCAGAGGACGGCCCCACGACAAAGAATTATCCGGCCCCAGATGTCAAGGGTGCTGATGTGAGGAGAGAGCCTGCTCTGACCTCACAGACTAGGGTCCACCCCACACGACGAGCAGCTGCTGAGCACCGGCCCTGAGTCTGTAAATTCAAAGACAAACAAGACCCAGGCCCACCTCTGATGAGCGTGGGTGACAGACAAACAGACAAACAAACGGAAATGGGTGAGCTCTGTCCTCACACCTCTTCTGAGGCCAGGAGCCCTCCTTGTGGCCTGAGTCACCCAGTGCCTGAAACTTGATGTCACAGTTTATGAAAGGAGCCTGAACTAGTCCTGGTCTGAAGGAGGAAGGCGCTCAGGGACAGCAAGCACCTAAGCCCCTGTTTGCAGGTCAGCTGGACCCTCCCTCTGGCTTCTCCTGGAGCCCTTCCCTGCTGGCTCTCGGGTCTCAGCTGCAGGGTCACAGGGAAAAGATTCATTCAACACAATAATACTGTTACGAATCACTCCACTTCTAAAAAATTCAAAATGTCTTTTTGCCTTGACTCCTAGAATTAAAAATATAAAATAATAACAACAAAACTCGTGGTCTGCCTAGAAGAGCCTGTATCACAAGAAGAAAACAGCAGCTTCTGACAGTGACTGGATTCCCCATCAGGAGTCAGGCCAGGTGTCCTGTTGTTTTATACCAGGGACCTCATTCCACCCTCGCAACCACAGAAAGACAGCACGGTCTGCCCCATGGCTCAGATGGGCAAACTGAGGCTGGGGCTGAGCAGCCTGCCCCACACGCGGTCTGCAGACGGCGAAGGCAGCCTGCACCGCGGGGCCGGCTGTCCTGGGTCCAGCATCACCTCCTCGGGGAGCAGGACCGTCCTCCAGCCACGAGCCCTTGGG